ATTTCATAAGGAATATACATTGTGTGATATAGAGGCTATTTAGCTGGCCATTAGAAGGCTTAAAGTCAAAAGTGTGACCCAGCTGTTGCCCCTCATTCATCCCATTTTGTCCCCACCTATGTCATTCTCTTTTTCCATCACTTTTTAACCCATGCTACTTTTATCACAAGACTTTCATAACCTACTTAAAATACTTTCTGGAACAAGGCAAAGCATAAATAAAATAACTTGACCTCTGTAGTGCAAAGCTCTTTGAGAGATTCTGATTCATATCCACACATTCTTTATCAGTTTTACATGCATTTGTACAATGCAAACCCTAGACCTCATCATTCCTAAGGCTTTAGGTTGGGGAAAGACCCCAGCTTCACTGCAAATAAGGTGAGGAGAAAAAATGTACCAGGAAATTTACTTACATAGGTTATTTTATTTAATTCTTACACCCCTATCATGTTATTAGTCCTGTTTTACATGTGAAGAAATAAACTAAGGGCATTATGGAACTTGCCCTAGGTCACCAGAGCAGAAAGTAGCTGAGGTGGCATTAGATTCCAGGTCTGTACCATTCCAGAGCCCACACACACCCCTTTCAATATACTTTGCTGCCTCCTTACACTTAGGAGATTGTTCTTCTTTTAATCAGAAACTTCCTTTTCCCTTCATATTTTAGAAAAAATATTAATGCTATAGAATCAAAATTGAAGCATCTCTTTATGCTATACTTGATATTTTAGCAGCACAACAAAAAATGTTGAAAAAGTCAAGAAGTAAAACTGTTCCCTCCCTAACCCTCTCACAAGTCCATGTTCAGATTTCCAGACTCTTTTGATGTATATAATTTGTTTTCCCTTAATGGGATCATACCAAATACAGACTTCTGCAAAACTGCTCTTTTCATGCAACATTGAATTGCTTTTCCACGTATCTCCAGATCTGCCATTTCCCTTCTGGTAACTGTACTGTTTGCAACCAGATGGATAGAAAATCAGTTTTCTCTTTTTCCATATAGTTCATCAACTGACTTAACATGTTCATGAAATGACCCAAGTACACTCATGCCTCAGGGTCTTTACAACTTTGCTGTTCCTTCACTTCATTCAGATCTCTGCTCAAATGTCACCTTATGGCAGACCTTCCCTGACTCTATATACACCACCACCTCCTTTCTATCCTCTTACACTTATCACCACCTGATATATTTTATTAATTTCTTTGTTTTGTCTGTCTCCCCCAACTAGGATGTCGCCAGTTTTCCTACTTTTTAAGAATTTTCCTGGTTATTTTCACGTTTATTCTTCCAGATACACATTAAAATCAATCATCATGTTTCAAAAAAATGTCCCCTGAAATTCTCATTAGGAATGTACTGACAAATTTAGTATGAATTGCCATCTTTAAATAAAAATGAAGGCTTCCTAGTCAAGAACAAAATATGCCTTGTCAACAATTATTCAAATATTCTTTACATTTTTCAGTAGGACATTATAGTTTTCAATATTCCTGGGACATATATGGTGGTGGTTTTGCTAAAAGCATCTTTTTCTCCATTATGTTTTCTAAGTGGTTATTATTGGTATATGTATTTTTAAAAAGTTGTTGCTTTCAGTATCTACTAATTCTTAGTATAATACGTGTATGCATGCATGCACGCACGCACACACACACTCTTACTTCATTTCACACCTGCCATTTTATCAAATTCTTTATTTTGAGGTCTTTCAGGTGATTCCCTTGCATGTTTCATATATGCAATGTTACCACATACAAATTCTGGCAATACTGCCTCCATCTTTCCATTGTTTGTACCTCTTTTTGGTTCACTTTTCTAACACTACTAGTTAAATGGTTAGTACTTCCAGAACACTCAAATAACAGTATCAAAACACAATCTTTTTTATTTTGATTTCTTAATTCTGAACATCCTTATATTCTTGGGATGAATCCTATTTGATTTTGCAGGTAAATTTTTAAAAAGTTGGATACTATTTGCTAATATCTCCTTTAGAATTTTTGGACTAATATCCTGTAGAAATGTGTCATGCTGTCTTTGTCAAGTATTGGTATTCTGTTATAATGACTTCGTTAAAAGTTCAAGGAAGTTTTACTTCCCACATAGGATAGAGTAATAGTTAAAAGTTTAGATTTTGAGATAAAACTGTCTAGGTTCAAATCCCAATTTGCCTCTTGCTGGCTGTACAACCCTAGACAAATTCTTCACCTCTATAAGCTTCATTTTTTTTTTTTTAATATAAAAAGAACACATAAGGTTGTTATGAAATTTAAGTGAGATAATTCAGGAGAAACTCATAACAATGCTTATATCCTGTATAAACTAAATAAATGTTACCTATCATTAATAGAAGTCCTAGTATCCAATATAATCAGGACCAGTAGTTGGCTAGTTAACTGAGAAAACAGGTTAAAAGAGGGAATTAAAAAAAAAAACAAAAAGATACATAGATACATAATTTAAACATTTTATTTTAACTGAAAATTTATAAATGTACATTTATTCTCCAATCTTCTGACACAGGATCAAGGCCCTCTCTTTGAACACAGGACTCAGTGAATGAAATTTTGCATTAGCTTTCTTTCACAAACCACACCCATAAATCAAGGATTTTACATTTTAGTTTCTTTAAATAAAGCTAGAAGTTAAAAACACTTCCAAAGCAATCTGAGTGCTAAATCCTTCTAGATTTTTATGACTTTTGTTTCTAACTTTTACAGTTCCTTGCCCACTAATTAATCTGACAGCAACTCTTTTAGGTGCAAAGTCCTACATATATATTTTATTAAGCTACACAACTATAATAAGAATAGCTTACATAAAAAATTTTGAAACAAACCACCACCTCTTGGTCATCATACTCTTTAACTGGTAGGATAAACACACATGGTCATACTAGAAACCGGCTGCCTACTAAGCTGCAAGCACTCAGCCTGCCATGTCATCAAACCGGTATTTATTTACACAAGGAATGGAGAACATCGGTGACTCCAGTAAGTCTGTTTAAGGGAAGGCTGGAATAAGAAATCTACTATATTATTCTTTGTTCTGGAACAGTTTAAAGAGCATTACAATAATTAGTTTCTGAAAACTTTGCAACAATTTACCTATGAAAATGTTGGGACCAACATTTGGTTGGTTCTTTTGAGAAATGTTCTGACAACACTGTTGTTGTTGTCGTTAGGTGCCGTTGGCTTGGTTCTGACTCACAGCGACCCTGTAGGACAGAGCAGAACTGCCCCATGGGGTTTCCAAGGAGTGGCAGGTGGATTTGAACTGCTGACCTTTTGGTAAGCAGCCGAGCACTTAACCATTACACCACCAGGGCTCCTTGACATTATTTCCTCTATTTGAGTATTCCAATGGTCAAGTTTGGTCAATCAAGTGGTCTCATAATTATTTTGATTTTCTTTATATCAGTGGTCAATTCCTATAACTTCATTTCATTTATTTATACCCTCTCTTCTTATTACTAAGTTTAATTAGTGGTTTAGTTTATATTTGCTCATGTCTGTGAATAAACCTAAGACCAGCTCTTAGATTTGTTCATAAGTTCTATCTTCTGCTGTACTGTAACTCATTAATTACTTTTATTCTCTGGGTTTATTCTCCTTTTTTTTCTAGCTTGTTGGTTGAATGTTTAATTCATCTACTTTCATTTTTCTTATTTAGTAGTGTATTTCAGGTTGTGTACATAGCTTTTCATATGAAATATAGTTTGATTTCTCTTTAATGATTATTTAATAATTATTTTCAACATATTTAAACTTTTGAGATAGTTGAGAGGCTTTGTTGTTTCCATTTTTATATTAATTTCTAGTTTTACTCTATTTTTGGTTAGAGAATATAGTCTGTACTATTTTCGATGTTTTGGAGTTTACTCTCATTTTCTACTAATATATAAGCCAACTTTTGTAAATGTCCAATGAGCATTGAAAAAAGTATATTTCTTGTTTTTAGGTATATCTATTAATTCTTCTGTAACCTTATCTACTTGTCTGTTACACAATAAAAAAGGTAAAATAAACATTTTCTAACAGTATATTCCTGGTGCACTCCTCTACCTCCCTCCTCAAAGTTCTGTGCTGGGACCCCCTCAAGCCCAGTCTGGGACATAACTGGCTCTCTACTTCCACTTTAGGGTGAGGCAACTGGCTGCTGTGGAAGAAAATCACTGTTAGCCTCTGGCTTGCATATTTCTGATTTTAGCCAATCTATCCCCAGAAAAGTGAGCTCCAACTGGGGCACTCATCTTTCTCTACTTTACCCTACAGTTCCCCAATCATCAAAAAGGGCAATATTAAGGTGTTCTGCTCTTTTTTAAAATTTTTTAAAAATTATTTTGTCCAAACTCTAACTAGCTGTTATGGTCTCCCCAAAATGGGGAACACTTGTGAATTCTCAGGAACTTCCTTTAGTTTGCTTAAAACTGTCTGTCTCTGGGTACTACTTCTCAAAGTTTACACTATGAAGTTGGGATCCTTCTCTGGTTACTACTTGTTGTTTTATGTTCATTTTGTCCAGTTGGGAAAGTAAAATCCTGTAAATTTGTACCTCATACCAACATCGTTCCTAAATGATGTTAAATATGGGATTAAGAGAAAGATGACTAATACGTATGAATAGCTCCTTATGAGATAGGTCCTACGACAGGCTCCATATTATAAAGACCTACACTAGCTAGTATATGCATATATTTTGGTGTATATACAACATATATAAACATGTATATATATACCTAAGATAGACTACTTCTTTACAATATACCAAAACATTAATCCTTCAGTAGTTTCTGCTAATACTTTATGAAGAAGTATCTACCATTCATTCTCTCCTTCCTCATATTTACTCTTCCTTCCCAGTCTTCTCTTCGTTTAGCTTTCAAAAGAACTGCGATATTTTCCTCTTGAAAAAGACAAGCTTGATAGAGTTTAAATTTCCTATGAAGTATGACCTTCCTCTGCCCCAAATATTAGAATTATGAGCTTACCTTATTAATTCTAGTTGTGCAAGTTCCTGATTTGCTTGAAATATAGGTTTTTTAGTGAAGAGTTCACCAAGGATGCATCTAATAGAAAAAATACCCATCATTAACAAACGAGCTGATTTTACTTTACTACCACAAGTTTCAAGTAAAATAAACCAATCAGTAAGGCTATCTTACCCACAGCTCCAGACATCAATAGCTGGTGTATAGCGTTCTTCTCCCAACAGTAGTTCAGGTGGACGGTACCATAAAGTGATGACCTTGTTAGTATACGGCCGACTAAAAAACACAGAAAAGCATTCTTTAGAGTTAGTATTTGTTAGGATAAGAGAGATTCTCTTAGGAAACATTATTTTAGCCTATCAAAGCAATCCTACAACTCTAACTAAAACCGCTCTCATGTGCCTACAAATATAGACATACTATGGCATCTACGATGTGATCATAAAATGCATCTGAGAGCAACATGATGAACTGAAAACTTCCCTTAAATATACGAAAATAAAAATAAAAAGCAGTTGAGTGGTTTTAACTATAATTTGATCAAATAAAGATCTTTATATAAACACAACTGTTCAATACTGTTTCTCCTTTCCATAATAACTTTTAAAGGGATTGATTTAGACCAAATCCGGCATACTACTAGTGAGTGACAAAAGTTTTCAAATGGGCCTATTGCTGGCAATATTTCATTGATTTCAACCCACTACAGTATGTGAACAGAAAGTGCAAAAATGCAGGCTGTAGTAGCTGGGCTCTACTCTGCAAGGAACCACTAACAACAGCTACGGTACTTTATCAGATGACTCCACAGTCATCTTCTAACAATAATGACACATATACTGCAATTTCTTTATTTGCTATAGAGAGAAGAGGTTATCTATAGCAGCTTATATTAGGAACCAGTTTGACCATCACAGTACATATTCTCTGACACTGCTTTCAATCCTGAGAGAATGATCACGTTCTAGTTGACTCACATGAATGAAAAAAGTCCTAAGAAGTCAGAGATGGCTCTTCGACTGATCCAGGATTAGCGTATATACTTCAGGGTGATCATATATGTCTTTAGATCAAGTCTTAACTCTCTTTCTTTACAGACATCCTCCAAATCACAAGGATTCAAAGGTTATATCATAGGAAATTGCCCCAGGAAGGTAGTATTCCAAGCCCGTATACCTGAGGTTGGCTTGGACCTGGACCAGTTTTGGGAGGAAGGAAAAGAATCATGATTTATAAAACAATTCCCTCTAGGTATTCACACTGCCAGCTATATAGATCTGAAGTTCCAGGCAGCACAAGACCTCAGCAATCTGACCTGCTCTGCCCCATTGAGTCAAATTTCTTCAAATAATTTAAGCACTCATACTATAAGCCATCAATCTGTTTATCACAGCATTACTGGAGACAGGACTACACTAACAGTGTTCCAAACCAGGAAAAAAAGGGGTAACTGATCTACATATAAGTACTGAAAATAAAAAGGATAGTCTATTTTCAGTAGCAAATTAGGATTAGATTTTTCTAACATTATTTATTTTTCTTGGTCATTTCTGTTTGTTTCCTCACATCACTTTTCTTCACATGAAGAAGCTTTTTTCTAATTCTACCTACTCTTATTAAGCTAGGCTTAATCATTCTTTAAAAATATGTTCTGTTCTTTATCCCTTAACCCCTTTTAAAGTTGGAAATATTTCTATTTTTTATCATTCAAACACTGTATCTCCTTCAAGACAAAGTGAACAACCCACTTCCATGAAGTCTAATCTGTACTAACAGTAGATTATTTTCACATTCTTAAATTTGTATCATACTTACCACTGTCTTGAACTCTCCTATTCTGTTTATGTTTTATATGTTCCCAGAAAATCAAAAGACCCCAGGTCATTCTTTATTATGATCCCCACAGACAAAGCCCAGAACAAGGATGGGCACAGGGCAGGCACCTTAACGTGTACGGCCCTGAAACTTTAGGTAACATACGTGAATTGGCTGAATGAGAGAAAAAAGTTTATGAAAATTATGATGACTAGCTTTTCTAACACATTTCAGGGTCTATAAGCATAGGAAAGCTATGGTCATGTTACTGAAGTGCAACTAGATATCTACTGTCTCAAGAAAATGTTTAAATTAATATAAACCTCTATAAGTCAAGAAAAATTATCTGCAAAAAGAAATGTATACATACATATATATTTTACATATATATTAAAAAGTTGATTCATGTATATATATTTTTTAACTATATTGAATTATGTGGCAAAATCACACTAATTCAGGTTACTAAATTTTACTGAAAAAGGAATATTTAAATTAAAAATTACTGCTCTTTTATAGACTATGTATCAAGTTGTAGGCAACATTTAGAGTCATCTTTTGCAGTTAAAACCAGATTAGCTTACTTTTTTTAACTTCTATCAAATTCAGAAGTAAAAATATTCTGTGCATTTTCAAAAATGATTAAACACAAAACTAAATGAAGTACAGTCTAAGTGTACTGCAAAAATATTTAATGTATACTAATTAATAGCTTTTCCAAATATTCCCAGGTGTTTGTTTTCTGTTAGAAGAAAAGTAAGAGCTAGGTAAAGACTGAGAAAAAGCATTCAACTGTAAAACTAGATCCAGAAAGTTCAATTTTAAAATACTCATATAATCTCAAATTCGCAAAAATTCTTTCATTTGTGAAGTGAATACACATTCAGACTGATACAGACTTTGTACAAAACAAAGCACTACACTGACATTTTTATTTACATTCAATGAAGCATCAGCACAGTAGAAATTAAAGGCTTTCCACCTGTCCGGTGACAGATTCCAATACTTTGCCTCTAGACAATCCCAGGAATTCCAGAGATTGGGGAGGTCAGGAAAATGAGATATGCTATGGCCTTCCGTACCCCAGAGCCTGACAAGCAGCACTGCATCCCCAATAAACCACGAACTGCCATAAGGGAGTATTCTCAGGCTGGCATGTGGCTCAGCCTCCTATCTGGTATAGATATATAAAAGGCAAAGCAGATATTCAGAGCCGATCCTAGGCCCTTGAAGTGTTTGGGTGTTCTCGATAATTCCAGTTAAAATTTACAAGCCAGAACTGCTGCCTTTGTTAATGATCATTCCAAGAAATGAAAAAAAAGAATCCTATAAAAGTAACTAGCTCCAAAATGTTTCATTTTTCCAACAACATATCTAATAGTCTACATTTATTATTTCTTTCAGACTATAATGTATACTGCTTTAGACAAAAGATACTGTTAATTTATAAACATGTAAAAAAATCTATTTAACAAATCTTTATTGGATGCTTACTACACTTAAAGCATTGTTGCTAGGCACTGCAGATATATGAAGAAATTCTATTTTTAAAATTAAATTCTTAAATATAATTCTAATTATAAGCACAACAAAATGTATTTCCTTTTTGATTAGTACAATACTCTTAATCCCACTGGCTGCTGCACTTAATAATCTTAGTAAATCAAAAGGTTAAAAATATGGAGAGCCTTCAGTTAACTAAATTCATTATATGCAAAAAATGTCTTGTCAACTTCAGAATCCACTGCAGAAACACCTACCAAATCTACATAAGAAATCTGGGACCTACTGCTAACACCTACCCCTACCCAGCTTCATAGGTAAAAAATCCAGGAGTCATGCTTGATTTCTCTCTTCCTCCACTTCACATCTAATCTATCAACAATTTCTTGCAGCTCTACATCCAAAATAAATCCCAAATCCAACTGCTTTTCACCTTCTACAACCCTAGTCTAAGGTACTATTATCTTGCCATTGGTACTACTGTTTAACAATCACTAAACTAGCTTCCTTGCCTCCGCTCCTACTCTCGTCTCACCCGTTTCTCCACGATTTTTTTTTTAAGAGCACGAAACCAGGTCATATCACTTACTTGCTTAAAAATGTCCATTGATTTCCCAATGCAAAAACTAAATAAAACAAATTTTTTACCTTTGTTGTTAAGGCTTTATCTCCAGAGTCTTATCTCCTATTACACTGAGCACCTTTTTTACCCTCAAACCTTTCAAGTCTGTTCCCAAGGCTTTACATTTGCACAGTTCCTTTTACTTGGAAGGATGTTCTTCTCCCAGGTCATTAGGTTTTCCCCTTCTCATCACTCAGGTCTTAGCTCAAATTTACTTCCTCCAAGAGGTCTATCCTAATTGCCCTAGCTAAAATCGCCAAGCTGCTGCCCCCCACACACGCACAGTGACCCCAAAGTCAGTATTTTATTAACTTTACAGAACTTTGTATTTTAAATTTCTCCCTGCACCCCCCCTCCACCCCCCACCAGTTTATTGCCTAACTTTCCTCATGACAATGTAAATGGAACCAGGGACTTGGTCTGTGGTGTAGCAGTTAAGAGCTACAACTGCTAACCAAAATGTCAGCAGTTTGAGTCCACCAGGCGCTTCTTGGAAACCATGTGGAGCAGTTCTACTCTGTCCTACAGGGTCGCTATGAGTCAGAATTGACTCAATGGCAAGAGGTTTGGGGGTTTTTTTTTGGTTTATATATACAATACCTAGAGTTCAGTGCCTGGCATATGTTTTTGTTGTTGTTAACTGCTGTTGAGTTGGTCTCCGACTCATGACAACCCCTGGCACCACAAGATCAGAACATGTGATCCACAGGGTTTTCATTAAGTGATTTTTCAGAAGAGATTGCCAGGCCTCTCTTCCTAGTCTGTCTTAGTCTGGAAGCTCCACCAAAACCTGTTCAGCATCATACCAACATGTGAGCCTCCACTGACAGACAAGTCGTGGCTGTGCATGAGGTATAACGTCTAGGAATCAAACTTGGGTCTCCTGGCTAGAAAGGGAGAATTCTATCACTGAACCATGACTGGCATATAGTAAGCACTTACTAATAATTTCTAACTGACTCACTTATAACTACGTAACAGTAAATACAATCTTTTTTCTCTTACCCTTTCCCTCTTCCTTTCTATTTCCACTACCCTTGTCCTCCTTTTGATATCTCCCAAGAAAAAACGACTTTGAAATTCTTGTATCATCATATTGCTACAGATAAACAAAAGTAGTTTTTTTCCAGTTGATGCTGCCGTCTGATGATCGCTTGCTCTCACCTGTTCATTCTTACTACACATCCAAATTCAGAAGTCCTGTAACTACTTCAATCTCAACACATCCGAAAGAAAATTCATTATCTTTTTCTGTTTCCTGTCTCAGCAAACAGCATCACCATTTGTGGTAGAGACTTAGACCAGTCCTCTACAATCTGTTGCTGTCTTCTTCTAA